TGTGCGATTCGTCGACCACAATCGCTGACACTGTTCAATGTAGTGCGTTATTCTCAAACACCGAGTAATAGAGAAAGTTGAGGTGGACTTTCTCAAAACAAATTTACGCTCCATTGGTGTACAGCTCAGTGACAACATTTCTGAAATCTGGTTGTCAACATGTATAATACTTTTTAGAGGTGAAATTGCAATCATACAGGTTTTTGATGAGGACAAAATTGCCATAACATCTCTTCTACGAAGAAGACTTTAAATGGCCATTTCCTGTTCAGGCTTCAATACAATTGCCCTGTTTTTCCATCGAATATTCAAGATTAACAATGCTCCTGTCAACACTTCTTTGATATGTTGATTTTGTTTTGTTGAGAAGATTATTGTTCAGTCAGTTGGAACTCTCACATAGGAGATTACCAAGTATTTGATTGGCGGGTGAACGTTATGATCCAAATGGAACAATACATACGCAGGCATTCGAAGTACTCAAAAAGGCCACCAGTCCAGTCAGGCGGTTTCTCATTGCTCCCGCCCCAATCTCCTCTCTGTTTCTCTGTCCTCACACGCCTTTATTACTTTGCGTGCCCAACCAAAACCATGATGCCACGAGGGTAGCGTATTTCATTTGTTGTTCTGACAGTAGATAGTGTATAACTTTCTTTGGAAGTGCAGACAAACTTGAGTTTTTTAAATGAGTTGGAAGGTCCTTCCAAATGTCTGTAGCTGTAAAAGAGATTGATTCTTTGCCTAGCTACGTTTGTTCGTACACTCATCTTATAAAGATTTTTCTTCGCTGTATATCTCGTGTTGTAGCAATGGATATGATATTACCAGCATATTGAAACATGTTGTCGAATACCTCACACAGACAGCCTTAATTATTATGCCTTGGATGCACAAATTTTGAGCCTTGTAGACAATAAATATTAAATTCATGCAGGAATGCAGATTTGAATTTGATACTGGTTGTGGCAACAACTAATGGTTTCATTTTTTAAATAATCTTTCCTTAAAGCAATCTTGGGGGTATGCTTGACCTGGAGTGACTGTACTAAAAAAAAGGGTTAATGAAACAGTCAGTTATTCATTCATTCCATCATGAAACAAACAGTGATTCTATCAAATAAGAAACTTACTGAATGTTGGAAGTAATCAGTCTGTTCTGTTAGTCAAGGCTATAGGTAGTCAATCAAACGGTCATACAATCAGTCAGTCAATCATTCAATCAATCATTTGATCATGTATTCAGTCATTCATTCATTTAATAAAGGAGGGCTCATAATATTTTTTATGTAGATGGGGAATGAGAATTATTTTAGATCTAATTTTTCCTTTGTGTTGTCTCTAAGCCCCCAACCCCTTCATTTATTATCTTGAATGGTGTGATTTTTGTTCCTGCTTTCTCATCCCATCTCCCATAAATGTGCACAAAATACCATGCCCCAACCCTCCCCCCCACCACCATCACCATGCTAATGATGAAAATGGCCTCCAAAAGTGCTGTTAAGTAATGATCTGGCTAAGAAGGGAAACAATTTCTTTTGTTATGGTGCAATATGTTTTCCTCATAGAGAAATGTTTTTATTTTCACACGTAGAATGCATTAACCTACAAAAAGGTAATCTGCAAAAATAACACATTGAAAGTAACACATTCTTTCAAAAATATTTGAAGTTTTCAGGCTCTAGAGTTAACCAAAACGTTCAGAGAAATTTGGACTGAATTGTGCCTTAATAAACATTCCAATTGGGAGTGGTTATAGATAGGGAGTGGTTATAGATAGATACACACAGAAAACACAAAAAAGTAATTGGCAAAATTCTGGTGGCAGGGAAGCACCTAACTATAGGGGTAAGGGGACCAGGAGAGAAGCCCTCCTGGGGCGAAGACAAGATTGAGTGATACCAGGGGTAGCCACCCTGGACAGGAGTCCTGATCAGTCTCTGGGGGTGAGGCCCCTATCCCCCAGTCACTAGGAACTAAGGGGAACCAGAAGGGGTGGCCCTCCTGGGTGGAGTACAGATCAGGTGGGGCCCGCGGGTTCACACTCTGGAGTGGTTATTTTTCCAGATCTGTCTCCAAGGGCTAAGCCTTACTGTGGGTTAAAGTGCAGCCCGGGGTTGCACTTCCCTGTGCCTTTTTTAATGGAAAGAAAGACAGTAGTTCCACAGTTCAGGACCTAATGAAGGAATGCGACCTAGTCTGGTATAATACCATGATGCACTTGACTCGCCCCATTTCCTCCTCTCTTCGGGAGTTTCAACAGGGCGCTTTCACGCGCCCAATGAAAATGCCTGCAGTGTAGGCTAGCAGAGGAATAAAATAATGATCTGCTTGGTATACTATTATATATTCTGTTTGGGCTAAATATAAAGTGACCATAGGGAGTACAACATGTAAAATACAGAGCAAACAAAGGTTCTAGTGAGAAAAGAAAATGGGGGGTGGAGGAAAAAAGAGGTTGAGCCGAAGTTATGTTCCTAGTAGGTAGTTCTTGAAAATCTAATGTGGTCCTTGCAAAGTCCTTAAAAAATGGTTGCATTTTTTTGTATGAACCATGAAGCGGATGGATCACTGCGTAACTAATGGCAGTATCAACAGAATGTGCTGCAGCATAACTAACTATCTTTTAGATAACCTAGTTTCATGTAAAAACCCCGTTGGAAAAATTTAAATAACAGAAAATGAAATTTTTATTTTTTTATAGTCTGTAGAGCCTTGTTTTGGAGCCAGGGTTGTCACTAAGATTTCAAGTTGCCGGGTAATTGTTGTTTGTAGCCAGCGAAGTTGAAAGCGGTCATGGAGCCCCTCGCCCCCCAAAGAAGTTTTAGACATTTTCTAAAAGGCATTAGCGCCAAAAAAGGGCAATCTTCATGAAGAGCAGAGCTATTATTAGCAGTTTTATGATGATTACGTCTTTATTACTGCGCTTTTCACAAACCGGCGAATTCTGAAGTTCAAAAGTCAACTGACGATTTCGTGGTGGATTTCGATCCGTTTTGTGTCTTTCTGTGTTTCAAGGTTCGTTGCTTGTGATGGTCATTATGATTGACGGCAGCGAAAAATGCAATTTTGAAGGCGACTTTTGAACTTTAGAGTTCGCATGTGTGTGAAAAGCGCTGTAAAGAAAACTACGAAATCAGCTGATGGTACTTAGATGTAAACAAGTAATCCGGTGGGGGAGGGGGGGTGGATACTCCCATATGAAAGCAGCGGGGATGCTTAGTCGCTTAGGGGTGTAAATTTTGGATTTTGGTCTCTGTTAGGGTCTCCTGGAAAAAAAGTCATTGTCCTTAGCCGTAAAAGTCTCTTTTATGGTTGCACACGAAGATATATATTTTGTCAGTTCGTTTTATTTACTCAATTCATGTAATCAAAGTTTTCTATAACATCAATACCTAAAGGACATTGTAAAAAAATGGTCTCTTTTAGTGGTCAAAAAACGGGGTCTAATTCAAAATTTCCAGCATCCCCGCCCCTTTCATATGGGAGCCCCCCCTTCCGGGTTAAAAATATACATATTGCGTGACATTGCGCTATATCTCTTGCAGGGTGACACGTCACAAAAAATAGCAAACACCCTGACAGGGAGGCAGCTCTGGTGGCCACTTTTTCCATTTTACCTCTGTATTTTATTGTATTTCATCTTAAACGAAAATATTATGAAGACTTTTAGTGTTTCTGTCCGTCGGAGATGATCAAACACACTGCAAAGAAGGAAACGCGGAAATTGTGCCACTCGCTCAGTTATTTTTTTCTCTGCTGTTTCTTTCAGGACGGTTCCACCTTAGCTGCAAGTCAGCGAGCTTATCATCCGAACGAGTTCTGCAAAACTGAAAGACTCAAGATCGGTATCCTTTAAATAAGTAAACGTTATTAAAAAAAAAAGACACAAGTTTCCCTCATCTAGCAGCAGCTGATGTAGGGTGAGAAAAAAGCAGACATTTTGCGAGGCCATCACTGGTTTCCCCGCGAAATGGCGTCAGAGGAACGAGCGCAGCCTTACTGATGACGTGCAAGATCCATAATTATGGCTATGGCTCCTGTGACGTGTCAGTATCCAGATCTGTTAGTGCCTCTGATATTTGAATGAAACAAGGTTCTAACCAATCAGAAGCTTTACACTCAGATCTGGTTGGCAATGTGTCATCAGTATGGAATTTCTACGTTCTTTCCTCAGATGGGTCATTTTCAATTAGATTTTCACTCCTTGACATATCTATATCCTAGATGTGAAATACTATCTCGCTAATCAGGTTCACCCAGTTGTAGCTCGTTTGTGCGATCCCATCGACGGCACAGATGCAGCTCATGTTGCCCAGTGTTTAGGTAAGTAAATGACCGATTTAACTCCGCTGCTAGAAAACTGTTCGCATCTAAACAAAGTGTGTCCACTGATTAAGTCTGTTTAAAGTATTTTAACTCCTTTAGTTGCAACAACAAAATGACCTGATATCACAGTTTTATTCTCCCTAGGAGCCTAGCCCTTTCTTTAGGGCAAAAACTCAAAAGTGTTCTATCCGTATTTACGGCTTCTGGCACGAAAAATTTGCCGATGCCGCTCCACCAGAGTCAGTTTTTCTTATGTTCCCTACTTGCTATCTATCATCTCATTGGTTCAGAGCCTACAGTTAATTTCGGAAGTCAGCGAAACCTTGAAATCTGTTGGTTGCACGCAGAATGCGTGATTTCCAAGAGCAATGTCAATTTGTGTTCCGCGCGACGGTTCGTTTGTCGTTATTTCCTTTATAATTTTGTTGTTGTTGGCTTTTCTCTTCAACGGTCAGCATCGTTATACGACAACCCTGTAAAGACGACGAGATTTCCGTGACCGTAGTCGAATTAACAGGTTTTTACTGTTCATTGAGATTCCCGTGAAACTGAATGTTTAAAAAGTTTATCACCATTTTTTTTTTCGCTGCGCAGGCCTAGATCCTTCTGGTTATCGTGGCAGCTCTGCCCTTCATGATGATGAAAATGACGCGTTGCTTGGTGGCCAGGCTCAGATGACAGACGAGGAAAGGTTTAAGGTCGGTATAACTGTGAATATTTTCCCTCCCAGAGGTGATCAAAGTCAAAATTCGACAAAACTTCCCAAATTAATTTTGTTAAATGATGAAAACCATGCAGATAGCAGCAAATGAGAATACTGAAGAGGTTTCATTTGAATAGTAACACCATAGGATTTTGTCTACAGATTCAAATCATCAGCAGTATCATACATCATCGCCTTTTTTATCCTCAGATTTACAGTGTAGCTCTTAAAGCTAATATCTCCAAGATAGAAGAAATAAATATTTAATTAAAGTAATCATTAGCCTAAAATAAATAATGAAATAAAATAAAATAAATGAAAGGAAGTTAGAAGTTAGAACTACATACTAAATAAATAGTACCATGCGAAATTACTGCTGAAGAGGTTTCATTTGAATGGTAACACCATAGGATTTCATCCACAGACTCAAAAGTTAGAACCGCCTCCGTCTCCATTACTTAATCTGGGAATTAAGGTGAAAGAAATGTTCTGGAAATGGAGGTTAAATAACACTGAGACGTTTCGTTTTAACGTAAAGTGGATTGTGTCTATGACAATCGGCATGTTCTAACATCCACAAGACCGGAACACAAAATTTGAGGGCGGGGGGTAAACAAGTTGCATCATGGTCTTTGTGAAAATGGTGAATAGGTAAAAACACAAATAGAAACCCTAACCCTAATCTGTACCGTACTTGTTTCTCAAGGATTGTGAGCGATTTATAGTCAAGTGTAAACGCTCCAGCTGTGGTCAAGAGACGACCCTTGAACTCCTCTTTAAAGGCGCCGTAAGTACACTTTTAACAGTTAATGTTCATTTACAGTTTAACATCAAATGATATTATTTCCTTCAGTCATAGAGCTTATATTTTACACTATTCAGGGGTATAAGGTTAAGCACATTCAATGCATGAGTTATAGCTGAACAGGGATCTGTAAATTAAAGTCAAATCCGCAATTTTCCATTTTCGAAAACAAGCAATGTCGATCCCAAGCCTTTAGCAGAGGTAGGTGTAGTTTATGTTCTGGATTAAGGATTACCAACAGGAAAAAGGTATATAACAGTTCAAAAACAGATTTAACAAGCTTTTAAAACATTTATAATTGTTGTTTTTATTGAAGCAACCAAACGAAGCACATTACAAGGTTGTATAGTTGAGAAACCACAAGTGCACAACATTTGTGGAGATACGCTCGTGGTTACAGAAAGTTTAAACTTTTTATAATTCGTTTAGTAAGATAAGGACCTAAAATTGAACGTATAAAGTTTTAGGTCTTAAATTAATACTTCGCACCAATTTTTTTGTAGTCGAACGCACTGGCAGTCAACGATACATGTCCCGGATGTAACAATCAGTACAGCGCGGGCGCAGTTTCCAACCAGTTGAACATTGCCATGCGCAGACACATCAAGGAATACTACATGGTAACTGAAGCAATTTTGTGAAGTGCTCACTTTTTGCAACTGCAGTTGTATACAGTGGAACCTCGATTTAATTAAATAAGTGCCAAGGGACAGGGGAAAGTTGTTCGTTATATCGAGGGTTCGTTATATCGAAAATCTTGATATCACCTCGACACAAGTTTTATCCTTTCGCATTTATCTTTAGTTATCTTTCGGTCACATGCTGACATTTGTTCGTTATATCGAGGTATACTATACGTTTGCGTTTCTAGATTGTGTTCGTTATAACGACGATTTCGTTAAATCGAGTTTCTGTTCCATACATTTTACTGTAATTTTGGCCGGGCTGATGGAAATCGTTCTTTATACCGAGGACTTCATTATATAGAGGTTCGTTAAATCGAAGTTCCACTGTAATAAAAATAACAAAGTAACTCGTACGGCTTTTTGTGGGCTTTACACCAAGGATCAAGGATAAGCACTTAGTCAGTTAGTGCACGGCCTTCTGTGATGGAGGGTCCGAGTTTGATTCCCAGATGTGACCCCAAATCCTTCTTTCAACTTCTTTCCTTTCCGTGTAGCTTTAGGTGGCTTTAAAAAGCGTTTAAACGGGGCACTGATGGAGAGCAGGGCCCAGTTGTTCGAAGGCCGATTAGCGCTAACCCAGAGTCCAATTTTAACCTGGGTTTCTTTTTCTTTTGTTCAAAAGCATTTTCCCGGGGAATTTTCTCTCTCTTTTTTAGAGCATCCAATCATCAATCGCAGGCAAAAAGAATACAACTGAATTTGCTTCTTAAGCTTTCATATATGAAATCAAATTTCGCACTAACCCTGGGTTAACTTAACCCTGCTTTGAACAACCCGGCCCAGGAAGTAAAAATGAGCTAACGACGTAAGCTACGGAGGACTTTTATACCTCTACCTATTTATATGCACTTCTTGCTTAAATGGATAATACATCCTCAAATGCGACCTTTGTTGGAGTAGCAAGAATGCGACCATCAACAAGTGTCGTACGAGAGGGTTTTGATAATGATGCCAATCTTAAGGATATTTTCCTCAGTTTGTAGAAGACCTTTTTAGCCGTATGTTTTGTCTTCTCAATTTAGACCCTTGACCTTAAATTGTACAAGAATTGTTTCTTAACCTTGCCTAAACAAGTTTGTGCACTCTAAATCAGAAAGATCTGTTTTAGCCCTAAAAACAGTGCCTTTTCGGTGACTAAAATACAGTCCTATTTTTGGGTCTAATTTGGCTCCCTTAAATCAGGGCCAATACAGTCCAATTAGCTAGGGCTGATTTGGTCCCAGGGCTGAAATGGGCCCTACCGTGGGCTGGAATAGCCTTTTGATAGATCTTTTTTGGCCTAAATTGTGCTCAAATGGCTCCAGGAAGGGCTGAACCAGACTTTGGCCTGCAGGGCTGAATTGACACTTTGGGGTTTAAACAGATCTTTTTAATTTACAGTGTGCGTTCTCTTAAGTAACAATACGAAGATGGCTGTGAACAGTCTCTTTGCATAAAAATTCCCTTGTTATTATGTTGTTGATTTTTATTCAGCTTTGAAGACATAGGAATCAAAACTAACCCACATTATAACTAATCGCACAGAGTTGGCAGAAATGCGAGGACCCGTCCTGTGGTTACAGCACACGTCAAGTACCCCTGACACGTCAACGAGGCGCCCCTATGTGCCCACAATGCTTCAGGGCCCACTTGCATCCAGTGGTGAGTATAAAACTAAAACAAAGACAACCATGACCGTGCAAAATTTTTCTTTGACTCTGTTGGTATTATCAGCTAAAACTATGTTCAAACGGACGGGGTCAACAATGTTTGGAGTTGTTGCGTCTGTGTTGGCAGTGGAGTGCGCACGGATGCAACAACTCCCAACAATTTTAGGACCTGCAGTGCATCGTGGGAAGGATACAACCCATAAGACTTTGAAGACCATGTGTAATCTGCGTGCGTGGCTCCAGCAATTAATGTTGAAAGAGGTTTGCAAACGGATTCAACATTGTTGCGCTACGCTTCGGCGATCACAAAGCAAAAGAAATCTTGGGAGTTGTTGGCTCAAAATTTTGTTGGCCAACAAGTTTGCGTCCGTTTGAACGCGGAGCCATGGATGGCGGAGTGGTGAGAGCACTCGCCTCCCACCAATGTGGCCCAGGTTCAAATCCCGGCGTCGATGCCATAATATGAGTTGAGTTTCCTCCGAGAGGTTTTTCTCGGGGTACTCCCGCTTTTCCTCTCTCCTCAAAAACCAACATCTCCAAATACCAATTCCACAGGAATCAGGTAGACGAAGAACCGCTTTGTGGATGTGCTATCTCCAAATCATTATTTATTTATTTTATTTTAACAATTATTTATTAATCATGACTATAATAAAATTCTCAAATCTGATTGGCTGTCAACTGCACTGATTTCAGCCTTAATAGGACAGTACGCGTCATGCGTAAGTAATTAGGCTGATTTAGCAACAGAACGGGAAGGTCGGTTGACAGTGGTGAGCGCAAATCAAACAACTGGCTTGACCAAAGGCTGAGCGGTAAATTGGGCACCAGAAGTCGAGTTGAGTCTTTTTCGCGCGATTTTCCGTAGTCAAGTGACGTTTCCGTTCTGTTGCTAAATCAGCCTATTGGACAGTACGCGCCATCACGCGCGCGATTAAATAGCTGGTTTTCACTGCTAGAGAAAAAGATCGTGGAATTTCTTGTGTTTTGATTAAACGAAAGAGCCTTATATATCACAAATTTTGTCAAAATTATGATAAATTGGTAACAGAACTTCGTGTTGTCCAATTCGGTCTGTAATCATACTCGTGATTAAACAAATCGTACTCCCGCTACGCGGTCATCCGATTTTGTTAATCGTATGATTACAGACCGAATTGGACTCCACTCTGTCCTGTTTCCATTACTTATTTATTTATTTAAGTATTTATTTATTTAATATTTCGTGGCCTAACTCCTTTAGTGGTTGCCAAATTGTTTTGTTTTCAGTTCTCCGACACAGCGTTGTACACTCAACTATTGTACTTCTCCCGCTTGTTTGACTTCGATCACGCGGTGAAAAATTCAAAAACAGGTCAGTATTTTGAGTAAGTGCCGAGTGTGAGTGAAAACGTTATTTACCCACGGTAGTTTCATCAAATAACTTTACGATAAACTATCTGTTCTTCTCGAAAGCCGTGCTTAAGAAATTCAATTACATAAAAATATGTTTATATCTAAAACTAAAGCGGCTAAGAAGAGATCGCGCACTCTATAAACTAAGAAAGGAGAGAATTTATAGTGGTTGACTGAGATAGTATGTACGACTTAATCTTCGCCTTGAATTTTGCAGAAAAGTCTCTTTCTTTGAACAAGAAGGGAGGGAACCCCAAAGCTCAACAGCCGCAAAAGCAAAACTATTCTTAAAATAGTTTGTTCTTGCTTTGGGCAGGTGGAAGGACAACTTAACCTTCAACGGTTGACGTAAACCTGAGCGCCCATTTCTTTCGTCAACACTTACGTTTCTCCTTACGTTCGCTTTTCACCCGTGTGAACGGGAACAACTCAAACGCAAGCACAAATGCAAGTTGGAAAGTGCTCAACTGTCATGTTGGGTTACAGAATGATCAAGTGCACTTTTGTATCTCTGTGCCTGTGTTTGCGTTGGACGTGGGAAATTGTCTGCCTCGTTCCTAGGCGTCTCAAATGTGTTTGGAAAACGGAACATGCGACTTCGAGCGAGAGTATCGCGCAATGAACCATGGGAACGTTTAGCGTTGACGCAAAGGACGTTGGAAAGGGTGAACGCCTTTCCCATGATACCGTGATCCAGTGGCTCTCCAATCCGCTAGAACAAGCGTGGGTAAGAGGCAAGAAACCTGTGCTTCCGCCGGCAAAGCAAATATTAAATGTTTCCAAGGAAGTTGTAGAAAGCACAATTTTTATCCACACCATGGAATAAAAAAATCTTTATTATCATTATTATTATTATTATTATTATTATTATTTACTCATTTATTTGATTTGACCTTTAAACAATCTGTTCAAATTCTTTTCGTCTGATCTTTTTTTAGCTGTGGGCGTAACACAGACTACGAAGTCATTTTACAAAGCTGTGCACTCAGTGATTACCAAAGTCCTAACTGCTAATGGTTACTCTGAAGTGAACCTTTCGAAATTGTTTAGTAGTTTCTTCGTGTAGAAACAGTGAAAAAGTTCATACCCTCCATTAGAAAATCGGAAGCAAAGCTCATATCAGTGATGCGTTTCGCGCGGTTGCCGCGTTTTGCTCTTATTGGTTTGTTAAGGCTAGTTTCTCTCATGTGCACTTTTCCACGATTTCGTCTAATTGCCAGTTTTCCCGCCAGTCAGTCAGTTCCCCGCCTTAGCAACCTGACCAATTTGTACGCTGTTTTCATTCACTTAGCGAGTGCTTTAATTATTCTACAATAACAATATTGGCAAGTAATTAGATGCAAAACAACGCTTAGAAAGCAATCCTATAATTGAACAAAGAATTACGTGCTTATTTCCTAATGTATATAAGTGTGCTTTCTTTTAAGGTCAAGACTATACGTCTGTAGATGTCTCCTTATAACAGCACGTTTAATCACGTCGCCCGTGCAATGTTTTTTCCAATTTATCTAAATAAAATTTGTTTAAAAATTTCAGCCTTACACTAATTGATTTTAAAAGAATCATTCATTGAAATTTGTTCTTATAGGATGTTCATTACAGGAGTTGTTTGCTTGTTGAAAGTTTTATTTCCGAATAATCTCCGACAGACAAAGACAACGTTTTGGCGAACACCTTCGGAGCATCGAGAACAACTTGCCTCGTTTTCCTGCCGCTGTGTATTTTACACGGTTGGTCACTCCATTAACGACGCTCTTGCTCTGCGGGGAAAACGCGCAACGGGTGCGCCTGGTGATGCGCCTTCCGTTTTCTCTAGACTGCGCGCAGAGCCCCCGCGCACAAAAAAGTTTTTAAGTTTCACTTCGTAGGCGTAGATAAAAACCTTGCACTGGTTCTAACGTACTTGCAATGCCACTGATGAAGAGCCAGGCCCGAAACGTTGGAAAACAACTTCAGATAAAACAGGAACTTTTGCTCCAGTTAATGAACTCTTACTACGTTTATGTATCACTATGGGATAGCATGCTTTGCGTCAAAGGAGATCTTATAAAATGATATCAATTCAGCTTAATTGAGACCCGTTTCTTTCCAGGCTTCGGTTACGCGCGCTTCCTCGGAATTTCTTCCTCAGCCCTAAAAATCCCACGCCTGCTTTGCAGGCTATAATTTGAGGATTAAAAAAGCACAGTTTTTGTCATCCCTATGATCATTTTACCATATGTGCTATCAGGCGCTCTGTGGATTATAAACAAGTTCTGTTCTGTTTTGTTCTAGAAACTGGAATCCAGAGAACCCTTACCAGTAATCCGGATCAAGGTCATGGGTCGAAATGGGAGCTGAGAAAGTTCCTGTTCTTCCGAGAAACAGTTGAATTTATGCGAGGCAGATGCCCCGGGGGGGTACTTGAGGAATTTCTGGGTGGGGATGTGCCGCTGGAACCCTGGAACCCTTAACCTATACCAGAGCTGGTTTAGCTAAATTTTGCTACCCTATACTAGAGTAAACTCCCCAAATCCCCCCTATCCTAGAGTAGCTGTTTCCCTAGTCTAGATAAAATCTTCAATAAACTGATCAGTTTCCTGAAAAATGATACCCTATTCTAGACCCAAACGCTCTGATTTATATACCCTATCCTAGAGTAAACTGCTTGAAAACCATACCCTTCACAGCGGCACATACCTATAAAGCCCATATATGGCAGTACCCCCCGGGGGGCAGATGTTGACAGGGTCTGGGATGAAGGGGAAGGCACTCGGGGAAGGGGGAACTCCCCAAGAAAAATACCGGGATACTCTTCTTCTCGCCTTTATAGGGGTGTAAAATTGCAGATCTCGGCCTCAGCTGTGGTGTGCGGGACTGAAAGCACGATCAACTCCAGCTGAGAGCCAAGATTGTGTAAAAAGCAAACAAACAAATCGAAAAAAACAGGTTGGGTTAATTTACAAGAACTCTCGTAAAGTCTTGCCTAAACTTAATTAAGCTTAAGATCCGTGACCTTTGTTTAAAAACAGGAATACGAAGGAGAGAGAAACGAACTCGGAGAAAGGCATGGATATGGAAAAGCTGTTCTACCAAATGGTGGTATTTTCGAAGGAAACTGATGCCAATGGAAAACAACATGGGAAGGTTAATATTTTGATAGGGTTTCTACGTTAGTAAGCTTACTACTTATAACAGAAAAATTTAAATATAAATATGCCTTAGAATCATGGATTTCTATACCCTGGGTACCAGAGGTTTTTTCTCGCGTGCAGACGGGGGGCTTCGTTTCGTCGGCCGCCGGCCGAAGACACGAGCGGCGAAGCTTTTCGAGCGGGTCACTTTTTAAGACAAGACCGAAACCGGAAACCGCGCATGAAAAGCCTCTGGCACCCAGGGTAGGATTCTACAGAATGGACGCCTGAAAATCAATGTTACAAGGCAAAAATGAAAATATTCAAAAAGTGTATTCCATCGGCTTGTGAATCTGTTTACCGTGAGATTTTTGTGCCTCATCGTGAGACCGTGAGATTGTCCTCAAAACCGTGAGACTTGAGAGGTCTGGAAGAGCTGTAAATTGATTACAGTCATGTTCTGCCCAAGAAGTCGAGTGGAAGAGAAATACTGAGGTTTCTAACATGCCTAATTTTAGAGTAAACCGTTGCCTATTATTAAGACCAAAATTTGTAAAATCTATTCGCAATTTCACCAAAGCCTAAAACGGCTAAAACAACTGACATACCCCAGGTTCACAGTTTCTACTTGGATTTTTATGTTGGAGCCTTGCTTTGATGGTCTTTGTGGAATTCTAAATCACAGAAGCACAGAGCTTTTAACACCTTTGCTGAGCATCACATCAAATAGTGAGTTAACGTACATTGTACAATTCTGTTTATTTGTTTGAAAGGGCCATAGAATGGTAAGTTCCAAATTTTTGGGACAAAGCTGCATGTAGCTAAAATTATGGCTGACCACCATTAACTTTCGCTTATAAGCCCCAGGCTTATGGAACTTTGTAATGGAATTTAGGAGGGCTTATATATGGAGGGGCTTAGTTATATTGGGGGGGGGACCCATAACCAGACTTAAAAAGTGTTTCAAAACAAACTGCACTACAGTGCTGATCAATTTTAAAATTTACTGCCTTTTTTAAGCTTCAAAACATCATAGAAAATCGAATTCATTTCAATACAAGCTAGAGGGGGGCTATTTGGGTGGGTGGGTTTATAACGGGATGTATTTTTTGTTTACAGGTACAGTAGATGGGCCTATAACTGGGGAGATTATAGGCGATAAGTTTACAGTACTTGCAGTCATCTTTTGTCTTGGCCTAGAGCTCTAAAGGGAAGATATCAAGTGATTCTATTAAAGGGAAGCAGGGGAACAAGCTCTCCAGGGTGCTTTGGTGGCAGGGTGGGAAAAGGAAAGAGAGTTTGCAACTTCTTCTCTGGAATTTGAATATCTGCCTCGAAAAAGTCTATGTGAAATGCTGATTGAGCAGAGATGACATTAGTAATGACTTCATTACCCTTGGCACCTGTTTTTCAATGTTTGTTTTACATTCACGCTTGTTTCCGCTTCGCACTGATTGTCTGAAATCTGACAGCTCAGTTGACGGGGAGCCACATGGGAATTTTGCATTGACTTTTTGGATGCAGATAATCAAATTCCAGAGATGTCCAGTAGTAGCAAGCTCTCCTTCCTTTTCCCACCACGCCACCAGTGTGCTCTTGACAGCTAGCTCACAGGCTAATTAAAGGGAAAACAAAGTATGTTTTTGGCCATTTTTTTTGGAAACACATTGAGTTTAACTCGAGAAAGCTGGCCCTATAAAATTTGCAATTGGTTTTCATGATAGCCTTGAAAAGCCAAAGATATATACTTATAGTAGAGGTATAGTAGTGTAGTAGAATAGTTTTTTTTTATGTCTTAGTTTCCCATAATGCCTTGATTTAACAAAGACTTGGTGCCTCAATTTCATTCGAGGTCAACCTTGACTTAATACAGTGTAGGTGGCTTCACATGAGCAACAATGATTTTGTTACAAATAGTTAGGGTGAGTCCCGGGACTCATCTTGTGAAAAATTATAAGTCCCAGTGCAGAACCAATTTCAAGGTTTTATCTAGAAGCTTCCCCCCCCTCCAAAAATATTGTTATCATTACAGTATATAAGTAACTACATCGGAAAAATAATCCAGACGCGACAAGGTCAGCGCACACACTGTAACATTTCTCAAAATTGTGTCTCAAAATGCACCAGATTGCATCTCAACTCATATTCATTTAAAAAAATTTCCGGGGGACATGCCCCCGGACCTCCCGAGGAAGCTTGTCGCCTTTGGCCACGAGGGACTTCTCCCCACAAACGATAAATCCTAGACAGAACCCCGCCAATGAGTCAAAGTTAAAAAACAACGAATCCTACATTGAAAATGCTTGGGCCTTTATGTAACGTAACAGGAGAGATTTCGAAAATGATTTGATCAAAAAGTTAAACGCTAAAAAATTTTTAAAATACATTTAAAAAACATTTAAAAAAGTGAATGACGTTTTGGCGCTATGTTACGCCATTATCAAGATGAAAAGTGAAAAAGTATAAGGTGTAAAACGAATATATAGAATTTGAAACAATACATAAAATATTTGCGGGTCCAATGGGTATAATTCCCAAGGTGAGAAACACAATAAGAGAAAAGCCGCGAGTGAGAAAAAAACCTCTGGTACCGAAGGACCCAGGGTATCCTCATGTTGGATCTGTTGTCTTCTTTAGCTGTTATCATACGCGTTAGTAAATGAAATATGCGCGGCGTTTTTGTGATTCTAAAACAGAAAGCGTTCGGTCGGTAGCGAATTTGTTTAGGTCGGCCTCTCAATTGCGAAAAAAATGGTGATATTTGTTGTCAGTATTTTGGAGAATAAAACGTTGATTTTTAATTTGTTTTCCCATTTTGGTAGCCCTTGTGTGGGTAGGACAAGGGTTAAGTATCATCGATGTCATCTTCTGTTACACCTTAAACCGCAAATGTTTATTACAAGATCACATACAAACTAATAAATTAAACTTTAGTGAAAAGAAATGAAAACAGATGGCTTGTAGTCTGATTTTCATCACCTTTGAAAGGGCAATTTTGTTTAGGGAAAAAATTCTAGGGCTTTTTAAAGAAGTTCAACGAAATTTCCAGTGTTTGCTCCGCCTAGTCTGAAGTCAGCTGTGAAGTACTGAACCTCTTTACTGCACTTTTGCCGCCATGCAAAGGTGGACCCCTCAGAACGCGTACGTTTTCTTTCAATCCGATTTAACACCGTGTTCACCTTGTATTTGGTTTTATCCAGTTCACAGCCATCTCCCTCTCAATGGACACCTGCCACTATTCCCTGTCCCGTGTTGCTTTTCAGTCAGTTTAAAAGTTCTACCAAAGTTCTACCAAATAAGTTTCATTTCAATGATCACTCCACAGGATTTCGTCCACAGACTCAAAAAGTGACCTTGTTCTATCATGCACCATCTACTTTCGCAGGGAAAGAGTTGCTCATTTCTTAGTTTAAAGCAGTTTTTATTTAAAATTGTTTATTTAGACTTTCAGTTGAACGTTCCTCGTTGGATAATCTTGACGACCGATAATTGTCCTTCTATTATAATTATAATTTTTTCTTTTATGCGTGTTGTATTGTAAATTAATGCTTTGGTGTAGTTCCTTTTTGTTTATAGATGTAGGAATATAGTGAAACTGAGTTCAAGTTCTTAAATAACTTTTTGCTGCGGAGCGACCTTAGGTAGCGAGCAGCAACATAATCAGGATTTAAGGGAAATATATAAAGTGGGACGAATTCTCGAATTCATCACTTTTTACCAGAATGCACTGCTTTAACCACACTTTTTTCCAGAATGCATTGCACTTAACCAGACTGCACAGCGCTACTTTTTACCAGAATGCATTGCGCCACGAACAACTCAAATAAAAACACGAGGAAGTTCTGTGGTTGAGAGCGCGCATCGTTCGCTGCTCAGGCTCAGAGTTTTCTTTGTGGCAAATTTTCTACAGCACGGTTAGAGGTCTTACCAAATTTAAGCCACGTAGGAGTCTTTTGAGATGAGTACGATGGTTAACTTTTGGACTGGATTTTAATTCAAGAGCCTTTGACTCGTCCAGGCGTTAAACAGCATTTCCTCCTCGACCCCGCAATACGGGGGATATACAAATTCCAGCTTGCTAGAAGGTGATGTGAAAGTGAGAAAATGTCATGTCATGCTATTCGTAAGAACCTGTATGAGCCGAAAATGGATGTGATTTTGACCATTAGCTTCAAAATAACAGCGGAAATCGAGATAACAAAACATATGTTTTGCGTCTTACTTTGCAGACGAGGACGTGTATCGTCGTTTTGTAAAGCGTAATTATATTCTTTCATCATTCATTGCCATGGAATTTGTGTTTACATTGTTTTTTTACTGTTATGCGGCTTGATCATCTTGCCGGCGGAAGTTTCATGGAAAAGGCATTAAATTAAAGACTTTTCCCCAAAGTTACCTTATCAGCCTCTGTGGTGTAGTGGTTAGGTGTAGTCGCGTCAAGCCGAAGGTGCCGGGTTCGAGTTTTACTCAACTCTTTTTTTTCCCGTTTATTGTGTTGTTGTTTTCTATAAATATATACCTAAGATAACTGTTATTTAATGAAGTGCAATAAATAGCAAGAAAAGTATCGTGCTTCCAGAGAAAAGATAGTACATCGTATATTGAATATATGGATAAACAATCTGAATTTCTATCATTTCCTACAATTTACTGTGGGAAAACCAGAGTTGATAACCACTTGATAATTTTCTAAACAACGTTCTTACGAGTTCTGTACGGTACCGGTTCTTTCTATAGACTGATAGTAATTATTACTTTCCAACATGTAAATAGGACATCGTTTTCGATTCTCTGAGTCTCACTGCCTAACTAATGCCAGTATCAACAGAATGTGCCGCAGCATTACTATCTTTTAGATACCCTAGTTTATAGTCTATATATATGACGATTGCTCTTCTCAAAAAGAACAAAAGAACTTGGGCATTAAACAAGCAGGAGTAAACAAGAAACGTATCAAAAGGAGTCGCTAACTGTATAAGAAGGAAATGCTTCCACATGAATGCTTGGTTTCGGTCATTTAGACGTAATTAGACCAGACAATATACAATGACAGCGGAAAAGTGAAACATTGATTTTGTTTCAACCATGCCATGCGGAAGCTAGCAGAGGGCGGATGTCGGGAGCAAAGCTTAAGCAAATATCAATTGAAACGCATTCATAAACGTAAAATTTGCAACAGGAACAATATGGCGCTACCAAGGAGTGTTTGTTTTCTGGTGGTGAATCTGAGTAGTTTGTTGACTTTTTACACTGTCGTATGCTATTCTTCAGCTGATTCTTGCAAAGAAATGAAATGCCAGGTTTTAGAGGAACGTGATTACTCGTCAGAGTTTCGATTCAAAGCTTCTGAAGAAGGTGTAAGGCTCGTGTACCTGAATTTTAAGATCTTCAATGACAGTTACCACCCACCTGTGCCGAAGAACAGAATTTTGCCCTACAGATGGACGTGGGCTCAAAGTGTTAGCGAGTCGATGTTAGCGCTGTCCTACGATTATGATGTTTTGTCCCTTGGTCTCTTGAAAAACCAGGTGAGGTCCATAATGGTGACTCTAAAGGAAACACAAGATGGTTGTTTCGCTCATTTGACTCCGCCGTGTCAGGATATTACTCTTGCAACATCCCTGTTGAATTTCACAAGAAATTTAACTACTTCTAAACCGCCGGATGAGATAAACGGTGTGGTTTGTTTCCGAGTCGTTGAAGAGTTTTCTTTCGGCGTTGGAGGTAGTTTTAAATATCAGTGCTGCAAGCAATCTGGAGAACAACGGGGAAAAAGAAAGCCAATTCACTGCGGCTTTGATGTTATAGAAAGCAAGTGGCTATTGGTTTTCAACTATATCCTTAACGTAGTCGTATCAGTTGTGTTCCTGTACTGGCCTCTACTCTTCTGTGCCATACCGGAATACTTTTTCAACGGAATTCGCCAAAAACGCCAAATACCAGAGGAAATCCCAGTGGATGATTCAAGCCCGATAACCTTTGCGGTGATTGTAAGCAAGTGCGCGGAAAGGTTAACATTTTTAAAGCACGGATTGAACGTAAAATTGATTCTCCTATGGTACTGTGTCCTTCCAATAATTTTTTATGTTAAGCTTGCGTTATATTTCATAATCAAAGGAAACTTTGACGATGCTTCCGGTAAGCTTTTGTTTCAAGTTGGAGATTACTACCTTCACATTTTTGACATGAAGAAACCCGTTGTATATGTTCTGTTTATTTTGCCTTTATTTACAATACCTACTGTGATATTTTTTTTTTTGAGGCCTGAAGGAGCAAACCTACAAACTAGCAAATGTAGTCTTTGCGAAACTGAAGGCATCCTAACTCCGCAAAAGGAGGTACAGAAGCATGTAAAAGTAATTCCAAGTAGGGTGATGCAAGTAATGGAAACCGTTCTTGGCCAGTTTACTAATAGTAAGTGCGAATTATGTAGAAATACTGCGCACATGCCTTCTCAACATTCACCGTGTGGACATGCTATTTGTGTGCTAGGTTCGGTTGCTTCTGCAATTGTTGTTTGTCCACTTGCTATTGTTTTTACTTTCTTGATTTTTTTACTCGTATCGGTCGTTTGCCTTGTGCTATATTCTCCTTTGTTGTGTCTACTGCAAATTAGTTTCAGGTTTATTCACAGGCGTTTTTTTTATAAAACCTTATTTTTTTTAATCTTTCTTTATTCGTCTCTCAGCTTGTTCATCGTCGTCATCTTTTCCTCTCAATTCGTGGTTCGAATGTTTGGTTTCGTTGTCATGGGAATCATCCTTAACGCAGAATTTGCGATTCCCTTTGTCACATTTTTCTTCGTAGTTTGGAGAAACATATATCTTTGCTACAGTAATTTACAAAATAGATACAAGGAGGTTAAAACAATGATTTCAGAACAGTGGAAGGAGATCTCGAAGGAGAAAATGATACCATACGAAGAAGATACAATTCCAACAGCGCTGTTTTTGTTTGTTTGCAACAAACGGCGTGTCTTGCCAATTGCTGATGAAGTTTTCTTAATGCTATGTAGTGTGCTAGCGATACTGATGTTTTTGTCTATTGCGTTAGCGGCAATCTTTCTCTTTAAGGTGGCGTATACGTCGTCGGCCGTTGTATCGACCATCGCTGTTTTTGTAAGCGGGAAAATATCAGAAATGTTTTTCAGCAGGGTTACGACAGGATACAGTATTAGCGGCTGGGAGAAAATTCGCAAGAAAGAGAGTATTCAGCTCGCTGTGGAGGAATACTTTTCGTCTGAAAGTCACTGGGTGAGCATGGAAAGTGATATATCTTACGTATCGCGCTTGACTATGGTATAAAGAGGAAGTTAAGTGTAATAATCCTGGTATTCAGGTGAAAACATCACTTTTCCTTGTTTCCAAATGGAGAGTTTTTAATTTACTTTTTCAAAATTTTGCATCCTGTCTCCTACAACCGCAAAAACAAAAGTTAGCTTCGCGCAAGAAAGTTCTTCCATCTTGAAAATATTATTAACAGTTCTGAGACGTTTAGCTTAACATACATGTCCTGTGTAACTCTTAGTTTTTAACTATTATTGTGTGAAATTTTGATGCTAATTTAAAACACGTTATGCTGACAACTAGTGTATCAAAAATTAAATATACCCTTAAACGTATCAGACTTATGGATTATTCGGAATACACTAACCGTTAGAGTGATTTTACTTGAACTGTGTCACAGATACTAACAAATATTGCAAAATAGCAATGGGCAAACAAAAGAAGATAATAGAATTAGTGCACAATAGTGCGTAGTATTTTACTACCCATTCATGTTCAAATAAAATCACTCAATACCAGTGGAATACACTGAAAGTCTTTGCTCTTTCCTCTAACTGCATTTGGCTCACGTGTAATGTAAGAGTTCGTATGGGGAACAAAGTTCAGATTGATTAAATAGACTTAGAATAGGCAGTGGAAATAATGTTACCTTGTTTTGTTTTTGCCTTTTCTGCGGAATTTTAGTGCGATTTGAGCGTTTTACATAATCTTATCAAATTAATCAGGAATCAACGTTCGAATCGAATTGTACTTACCGTAAATGACCTAATAAACGCCCACTTCCAAATAAACGCCTCTTATCTAATAAAGGCCCCTCTACGCTGTTGAAATTGTATTAGATGCCCCTCTCTAATAAACGCCCCTGTCCAATAGATGCTCCCTTTAAGAATTACTCCAAAAATACCAGGAATTAGCAAAAAGGAGCAAAATCATTCAATTTATTCAGTTTCTTGCTTGATTAACCAAGGTTTGCATAATGTCAAGTTCAAAGTAAGGATAGACTAATGATGGCAACACAATAACCCTGAGCGAGGATCCGCTGACATCGATGTTGGAATTTGAAAAAGCGATATGGATGATTTACATGGCCTAGACGTATCAATTGATGGAGTGGATATTCCGCGATTTGTAAACTCTCTCTTGATCTTTTTGCCTAAAGTATATTAGTTTTGTTGTGCTTGTTATAGGTATGAGAATAAACGCCTCTCTCTCTCTCTTTTAAACGCCTTCTATCTATTAAACGCCTCTGCCTGGACCTCTAGAATTAAATAGACACCTCGGGCGTTTATTAGATCATTTACGGTATTCGCTCATGTGAAAATTCGATGATGTGAAGACATTGCCTTGTCCCTGTACAGCTTCTTCCCAGGCCTTCACGATCAATGCATTTCGGTGACGTAGCCGAGACAAGCGTCGCTCAAACCACATGACCCAAGTCTCACAGGCCGCGCAGGATAGTGAGGCGTAGGGACTAGGCGAGTGAAGACACTTAGTAGCAGCGATGAGGGACCCGCAAAGTAACAGACGCAGGTGTCCACATTTGAAATGTCTGCCTGGGTCAGTTCTTGGTGTGCCGGATTTTAACCTCGTTTCTAAGAGAAAGGATCCCTAAAACGAGGTTGGTGGACGGAGCGATCACAAATGACGTATATACAGTCAGCCTCCGTTAATCCCTTTTGTGGGCACCGCGAGTTAGTCTCCGTTGTAAAGAGGGTCATTAATAGCGGATGCGAGAAGAAATTTCTTTGAAAAACACTTGCTTTTACAGATAACATGCCTTTGCCTTTGGATTACTTGTAACTGTAAAACAAACTTTAGCGTAGAAAAAATTTGGTCAGACTGGACCAACGTATTAATAGCAGAGAGACTTGACAGCTAGTCTTTAGAAATGTTGAAGAGGAAGTTCAGATTATTAGCAATAGAATAAGGGTTAACCTTAATGAAAAGAGAAGTCAGAAGTTGCAAGTGGAAGAAATAAATCGTACTTTTATCTCTCTGTTAAAAGGGGCAGCTTGTCGTCCGTTATAACGAGAGTTAAAATAATAAAATTATGCTGTCAGGACCGAAAAATGTGTCCTTAATTCTGTAATAGCAAGAGTCTTTAAAAGCGAGGGTTTGTTTCAGTCAAATGCCCATCACAGTTTTTTTCCGGGGATTTAGCAGCTGTACTTATTATCGGGGTGTCTGAAATAGTGAGACGTCTACAAGACGAGAGTTGACAAATACAAAAGATGAGATGGCACGCACGCACGTACCCCGTGAGAAGATCACAGATGAGAGAAGGGGGCTTTGCCTGAATTGAAGTCGCCGCAGTCCGAAATTCTGGACTAGGTAATGCGTAGGAGCCATCCGCCTGCTTACTAGATGCTGACTCGTCCCCGGTCATATCTATTGAACGTCTCCCTAGTGGCGCACAGGGTGGGATGGGAAGGAGGGAAGCGAGGGATTGAGATTATCCCTCCCATCACCCCTTATTCCCGCCGTCATCGCCTTCGTGACGAAGACTACTGGGGTCAAGCAGGACGATTGAGTACTAAATGTGTGATATATTTAGAGGAGTTCTTCATATACAAGTACAGTACACCGCAGAAGTTGGACACGCCTTTGTTATTAACAGTCGCCTGTCCCTCAAGAAATGGGTACAGATTGTGATGTCCGTGGATGATACCACTGTGTACGTGACGAGGCAGTTTAATAGTCACGTGCTAGAAAGGGAGGCAAATGCTGTCCACACAGAGTGAGTCTGAACTTTATTAGCTCAACAATAGGTTTGCGTAGTTTTGAGAGCAGTCGTCTCCCCCCACTGTGGCACGGGTTCAAATCCCTGCGTCGACTCCATTTGTCAGTTTGTGTTGGTATTCTTGTGTTAGTTCTCGTCCATGCTCCGAGTAGGTTTCCACGGATACTCCGGTTTTCTCCTCTCCCAAAAAAAAAACAACACTTCCAACTATCAATTCGACCCTGAACGTACGGCGGGGGAAGAGGTACTCCCCTATGTAGGCTCTTTGGAATCCCTAGGATTTTGTAATTTCTAACAGTAGCTCCCGGGTACTGAAACCACAGGACATTTTTGTTTCCTGTTTTGAAAATGAATGTTTTATGGTACCCCAAATATTTTAATTCATCCTTGAAAATCTTTGCACTTTCCCAAAAGGATGATTTACGTACCATGACATTGAAGGATTGTTGGTGCTCGATGGTACCGAGGGTTCACAGACATTCAAAGGAATCATTGGACGTACTCGTATCTACAGACGACACTTGTTGTTTGCAAACCAGATAAAAGAAAATAATGTGCATCTGAATTTGTTAACACTAAAAGTTGGGATTTTTCATGTTCAAGTTGCTTAAATTGCTTAAATTTTTCCATAACTGCCCTACCTACACAAGCTGCATTATGGGGGATTTCCAAATAATGAATTAACAATACATTCTTTTCTTTGATGGGAAGATGTGAACGCACACGTTTCTTCATGTGGCGTCAACGAGTTCAAAGTTCACTACGTTGATAGTAGCCTGCGTAGCAGGCGCTAGGAAATACTGGGCGCAAGAAAAATCGGGTGCGCGCGAGAGAGAAACGCGAGGAAAGAGTGTCTCCCTCGCGCGCGCCTGTTCTCTCTTTCCCCTCCTTATTTCCTAACCCCTTCTAAACAGGCTACGTTGACAGAGCATCGCATCGATAATGCGGAAGTCAAAGCCGGTTCGAATCGTTGGAGCCCTGGGCCGAGTTTTCTTGGGTTGTCGTGGCACCCTATTTTAAAGAAGTTGCGTTGGTCGGCCTTTGAACAACTGCTCTCTTTGCTTGTTGCAGTTGTGGCTGTATTTTTAGCCGTCTTTTCGCAGTTCCTAACTTTTCACTTGACATTTCTACAATTAAATGTGATTAAAATGTTCACTGTGCAGTGAAACTGTTTTTTTATCTTACTCTCGGCTATTTTCTTCGAACTCCCGTTAACTCGAACCTTTTTTCGATTTCCCTTGAAGGTTCGAGTTATCGGGAGTCGACTTTACATGAAAAGGCCCTGCGCTCTGTGTTTAAACAAGGAAAAATACGACGGAATAAATCGAATCATCATAATTCATAATTCTCTTCTGATTTCTTGCAATCGTCTCTAGATAAAACAGAAAGCGTTTGCTTAGAAAAACTGCCCTACTAAGCCAACAAGCAAATTGTTTATTTCGACTCAATACCGAATACAAAGTAAACAAATTAAAAAAAGAGAATTTATTTACCCATGCTGAACTTCAAGTAATCTTAGGAGGAGAGAAGACCTAAACACAAAGGAAATCAATTTTACAATCACGAAAAAGATACTTCTAGATTAGAAATCAGAACGTAACGTAACAAAACATAGCCTAAATAGAGCATGCGTTTTACTGAGAAGACAAGCTGCTTCACGTTAGCCTGTGACAATCAACATCAGCCTCCACTAGTAAACTATACTCCTACAACACGTCAATGGGAAATCCAAACTTCAATGTTTCGGACGCCCGTAGACGTTTTTTTTCCCCGACTTTTTAAGGGTTTAAAACATGGTTCGAGTTATCGAGGGTAAAATTATATAGAAAATGACCTAAGGGAAAACGAAAATTGGTTCGAGTTAGCGGGAGTTCGAGTTACCGAGGGTAAAATTACACTGAACGTATGACGGAAATCCAGCGGAAATCGATTTTGGTTCGAGTTAGCGCGAGGTTCGAGTTAACGAGGGTTCGAGTTATCGGAAGTCGACTATATTTAACTTGTGAACTTGTAAAAAGGTTGAAATAAGCTTCAACCTAATTGCTGTAATACATCAATTCTTAGGCCACTTTTGTTTACTCATTTAATTGACAGCTCTCGATGATCACTCAATAAGTTGCAAATTCAAAAAGTTACCCCTTGTTACCCCTTGTTCTCCTTGTTACCCATTGTTCCCCTTCTTACCCTGTGTTACCCCTTGTTACCCTTGTTACCCAATTTAAACCCTTGTTACCCTTGTTACCGCATGTTACCCTTGTTACCCCTTGTTACCCTTGGTACCCTTGCCACCCCATGTTACCCCTTATTACCCTTGTAACCCCTTTTTACCCTTGTTACCCCATGTTACCCCTTGTTACTTCTTGTTACCCCTTGTTACCCTTGTTACCCTATGTTACCCCTTGTTACCCCTTGTTACCCCATGTTACCCCTTGTTACCCCTTGTTACCCCTTGTTACCCTTGCAACCCCATGTTACCCCTTATTACCCTTGTCACCCCTTTTTACCCTTGTTACCCCATGATACCCCTTGTTACTTCTTGTTACCCCTTGTTACCCTTGTTACCCTTGTTACCCTATGTTACCCCTTGTTACCTTTGTTACCCCTTGTTACCCTTGTTATCACCTGTTACCCCTTGTTACCCCATGTTACCCCTTGTTACCGTTGTTACCCTTTGTTACCCCTTGTTACCCCATGCAACCCGCTGTTTCCCTTATTCCCCCTTGTTACGCTTGTTACCCTTGTTACCCCTTCTTATCGCTTGTTACCTTTGTTACCCCCCTGTTACCCCTTGTTAACCCATGGTTTTGGTCCAAAAATGGCCATTTTTCCAACTTTTTTTTTTAGGCAATATAGGCCAAGAAAATGTCTTTAACGATAGTCTAGAAAGAAAAAAAAGCCCTTCTAGCCTATGAAAACAAGAAGTGCAAAGAGTAAAAAAATAAACATTTTTCCAAAGAGGTTAACCCATGGTTTTCGTCCAAAATTGTCCATTTTTCCAACTTCTTTTTGTAGGCAATATAGGCCAGGAAAATGTCTTTTCCGATATTCTAGAACAAAAAAAACGCCTTTCTAGCATATAAAAACAAGAAGTTCAAAAAGTCGAAAAATTTACATTTTTCCAAAGGGGTTAAGCCATGGTTTTGGTCAAAAAATGGCCATTTTTCCAACTGTTTTTTTTAGGCAATATAGGCCAGGAAAATGTCTTTTACGATACTTTAGAAGGAAAAAACGCCTTTCTAGGCTATAAAAACAAGAAGTTTAAAAAGTCGAACGGTTGACATTTTTCCAAAGGGGTTAACCCATGGTTTTGGTCCAAAAAAGGCCATTTTTCAGACTTTTTTTTCTAGGCAACATTAGCCAGGAAAATTTCTCTTACGATGTTCTAGAACGAAAAAACGCCTTATTAGGCTGTAAAAACCAAAAGTTCAAAAAGTCGAAAAATTGACATTCTTCCAAAGGGGTTAACCCATGGTTATGGCCAGGAAAATGTTGTTTACGATATTCTAGAACGAAAAAACGCCAAACAAGAAGTTCGAAAAGTCGCAAAATTGACATTTTACCAAAGGGGTTAACCCATGGTTTTGGTGCAAAAATAGCCATTTTTTGCAATTTTTTGTAGGGAATATAGGCCAGGAAAATGTCTTTTACGGTATTCTAGAACGAAAAAACGCCTTTCTAGTTTCTAACAACAAGAAGTTCAAAAAGTCAAAAAATTGACATTTTTCCACAGGGGTAAACTCATGGTTTTAGTCCAAAAATGGCCATTTTTCCAACTTTTTTTTTTTTGAGGCAATAGAGGCCAAAAAAATGTCTTTTACGAATTTCTAGAACGCAAAAAGGGCCTTTCTAGGCTATGAAAACAAAAAGTTGAAAAAGTCGTAAAATTTACATTTTTCAAAAGGGGTTACCCCATGGTTTTGGTCCAAAAATGGCCATATTTCCAACTTTTTTTTTTCAGGGAATATAGGCCAGGAAAATGTCTTTTACGATATTCTAGAACGAAAAAAACACCTTTCCAGGCTATAAAAACAAGAAGTTCAAAAAGTCGAAAAATTGACATTTCTCCAAAGGGGTTAACCCATGGTTTTGGTCCTAAAATGGGCATTTTTGTAACTTTTTTTTTCAGGCAATATAGGCCAGGAAAATGTCTTTTTCGATATTCTAAAACGAAAAAAACGCCAAATAAGAAGTTCAAAGTCGAAAATTTGACATTTTTCCAAAGGGGTTAATCCATGGTTTTGGTGCAAAAATAGTCATTTTTGCAATTTTTTGTTTAGGGAATATAGGCCAGGAAAATGTCTTTTGGGATATTCTAGAACGAAAAAACGCTTTTCTAGGCTCTAAAAACAAAAAGTTCAAAAAGTCGAAAAATTGACATTTTTCCAAAGGGGTTAACCCATGGTTTTGGTCCAAAAATGGCCATTTTTCCAACTTTTTTTGGGAAGCAATATAGGCCAGGAAAATGTCTTTTACGATATTCTAAAACGAAAAAACGCCTTTCTAGGCTATAAAAACAAGAACTTCAAACGTCGAAAAATTGACATTTTTCCAAAGGGGTCAACCCATGGTTTTGGTCCAAAACTGGCCATTTTTCCATTTTTTTTTAGGCAGTATAGTAGATCGCTGGATCTGTAGATCGATCGATCCGTACATCGCTCGATCGGTAGATGGCTGGATCGGTAGATCGCTTTATCGGTAGATCTCTGGATCTGTATATCGCTGGATCTGTAGATCGATGGATCTATAGATCGCTCCATCGGTAGATCGCTGGATCTGTAGATAGCTGGACCTATAGATCGCTGGATCGGTAGATCGTTGGATCTGTAGATCGATGGATCGGTAGATCGATGGATCTGTACATCGCTGGTTCGGTAGATCGCTGGATCGGTAGATCGCTGGATCTGTAGATCGCTTGATCGGTAGGTCGCTGGATCGGTAGATCGATGGAACTATAGATCGCTCGATCGGTAGATCGCTCGATCTGTAGATCGCTGGATCGGTTGATCGCTGGATCTATAGATCGCTGCATCGGTAGATCGCTGGATCAGTAGATTGCTGGATCTGTAGATCGCTGGATCTGTAGATCGCTGGATCGGTAGATCGATGGATCTGTAGATCGCTGGATCGGTAGATCGCTTTTTCGGTAGATCTAGATCTCTGGATCTGTAGATTACTGGATCTGTAGATCGCTCGATCGGTAGATTCCTAGATCGGTAGATCGCTGGATCGGTAGATCGCTGGATCTGTAGATCGCTGGATCGGTAGATCGCTTTATCGGTAGATCACTAGATCTGTAGATCGATGGATAGGTAGATCGATCGATCTATAGATCGCTGGATCGGTAGATCGCTTTTTCCCGTAGATCTAGATCTCTGGATCTGTACATTACTGGATCTCTGGATCGTCGGATCGGTAGGTTCCTGGATCGGTAGATCGCTGGATCGGTAGATCGCTTTATCGGTAGATCGCTGGATCTGTAGATCGCTGAATCGGTAGATCGATGGATACGTAGATCGATGGATTTATAGATCGCTGGATCGGTAGATCGCTGGATCGCTCGATCGCTTTTTCGGAAGATCTAGATCTCTGGATGTGTGGATCGCTGGATCGGTAGATCGCTTTATCGGTAGATCTCTAGATCTGTAGATCACTGGATGGATAGATCGATGGATCCGTAGAACGATGGATCCATAGATCGCTGGATAGGTAGATCGCTGGATCTGTAGATCGCTGGATCGGTAGATCGATGGATACGTAGATCGATGGATCTATAGATCGCTTGATCTGTAGATCGCTGGATCGGTAGATCGCTTTTTCCGTAGATCTAGATCTCTGGATCTGTAGATTACTCGAACTGTCGATCGCTGGATCGGTAGGTTCCTGGTTCGGTAGATCGCTGGATCGGTAGATCGATGGATACGTAGATCGATGGATCTATAGATCACTGGATCGGTAGATCGCTGGATCTGTAGATCGCTGGATCGGTAGATCGCTTTTTCGGTAGATCTAGATCTCTGGATCTGTAGATTGCTGGATCTGTAGATCGCTGAATCGGTAGATCTCTGGATTTGTAGATCGCTGGATCGATAGATCCATGGATCCGTAGATCCATTTATCCATAGATCGCTGGATAGGTAGATCGCTGGATCTGTAGATTGCTGGATCGGTAGATCGCTGGATCCGTAGATCCATGGATACGTAGATCGATGGATCTATAGATCGCTGGATCGGTAGATCGCTGGATCTGTAGATCGCTGGATCGGTAGATCGCTTTTTCCGTAGATCTAGATCTCTGGATCTGTAGATTACTGGATGTGTGGATCGCTGGATCGGTAGGTTCCTGGATCGGTAGATAGCTGGATCTGTAGATCGCTGGATCGGTAGATCGCTTTATCGGTAGATCGCTGGATCTGTAGATCGCTGGATCGGTAGATCGATGGATACGTAGATCGATGGATCTATAGATCGCTGGATCGGTAGATCGCTTTATCTGTAGATCGCTGGATCGCTCGATCGCTTTTTCGGAAGATCTAGATCTCTGGATGTGTAGATCGCTGGATCGGTAGATCGCTTTATCGGTAGATCTCTGGATCTGTAGATCACTGGATGGATAGATCGATGGATCTGTAGATCGCTGGATCGGTAGATCGCTGGATCGTTAGATCGATGGATACGTAGATCGATGGATCTATAGATCGCTGGATCGGTAGATCGCTGGATCTGTAGATCGCTGGATCAATAGATCGCTTTTTCCGTAGATCTAGATCTCTGGATCTGTAGATTACTGTATCTGTCGATCGCTGGATCGGTAGGTTCCTGGTTCGGTAGATCGCTGGATCTGTAGATCGCTGGATCGGTAGATCAATGGATACGTAGATCGATGGATCTATAGATCACTAGATCGGTAGATCGCTGGATGGGTAGATCGCTTTTTCGGTAGATCTAGATCTCTGGATCTGTAGATCGCTGGATCTGTAGATCGCTGAATCGCTAAATCGCTTTTTCGGTAGATCTAGAACTCTGCATCTCTAGATCGCTGCATCGATACATCGCTTTATCGGTAGATCTCTGGATCCGTAGATCGCTGCATCGATAGATCGATGAATCCGTAGATCGATGGATCCATAGATCGCTGGATCGGTAGATCGCTGGATCTGTAGATCACTGGATCTTTAGATCGCTGGATCGGTAGATCGATGGATACGTAGATGGATGGATCTATAGATCGCTGGATCTGTAGATTGCTTGATCGGTAGACCGCTTTTTCCGTAGATCTAGATCTCTGGATCTGTAGATCTCTTGATCTGTAGATCTCTTGATCAGTAGATCTCTGCATCTGTAGATCGCTGGAAAGATAGATCGATGGATCCGTAGATCGCTGGATCGTTAGATCGCTGGATCTGTAGTTCGCTGGATCAGTAGATCGATAGATACGTAGATCGATGGATCTATAGATCGCTTGATCAGTAGATCGCTTTTTCCGTAGATCTAGATCTCTGGATCTGTAGATTACTGGATCTGTGGATCGCTGGATGGGTAGGTTCCTGGATCGGTAGATCGCTGGATCGGTTGATCGCTGGATCTATAGATCGCTGGATCGGTAGATCGCTGGATCAGTAGATTGCTGGATCTGTAGAGCGCTGGATCTGTAGATCGCTGAATCGGTAGATCGATGGATCTGTAGATCGCTGGATGGGTAGATCGCTTTTTCGGTAGACCTAGATCTCTGGATCTGTAGATTACTGGATCTGTAGATCGCTCGATCGGTAGATTCCTAGATCGGTAGATCGCTGGATCGGTAGATCGCTGGATCTGTAGATCGCTGGATCGGTAGATCGCTTTATCGGTAGATCACTAGATCTGTAGATCGATGGATAGGTAGATCGATCGATCTATAGATCGCTGGATCGGTAGATCGCTTTTTCCCGTAGATCTAGATCTCTGGATCTGTACATTACTGGATCTCTGGATCGTCGGATCGGTAGGTTCCTGGATCGGTAGATCGCTGGATCTATAGATCGCTGGATCGGTAGATCGCTTTATCGGTAGATCGCTGGATCTGTAGATCGCTGAATCGGTAGATCGATGGATACGTAGATCGATGGATTTATAGATCGCTGGATCGGTAGATCGCTGGATCGCTCCGGCGATCGCTTTTTCGGAAGATCTAGATCTCTGGATGTGTGGATCGCTGGATCGGTAGATCGCTTTATCGGTAGATCTCTAGATCTGTAGATCACTGGATGGATAGATCGATGGATCCGTAGAACGATGGATCCATAGATCGCTGGATCGGTAGATCGCTGGATCTGTAGATCGCTGGATCGGTAGATCGATGGATACGTAGATCGATGGATCTATAGATCGCGGGATCGGAAGATCGCTTTTTCCGTAGATCTAGATCTTTGGATCTGTAGATTACTCGATCTGTCGATCGCTGGATAGGTAGGTTCCTGGTTCGGTAGATCGCTGGATCGGTAGATCGATGGATACGTAGATCGATGGATCTATAGATCACTGGATCGGTAGATCGCTGGATCGGTAGATCGCTTTTTCGGTAGATCTAGATCTCTGGATCTGTAGATTGCTGGATCTGTAGATCGCTGAATCGGTAGATCTCTGGATCTGTAGATCGCTGGATCGATAGATCCATGGATCCGTAGATCCATGGATCCATAGATCACTGGATCAGTGATGATGTGAATTGATGTGTGGACACCTTCTTCATTGAAATCGCTAGTAAACGCAGTTATCGGTTTACAAGTGTAAGGTTGAATATTACCCAATTTTCTACTGGAGCCTTAAATTGTGTTTATATCTTAAGGTCGTTGTTATTTTTTTGGCACGATATATTGGAGGGTGCCTTAATTTATTCGTGTTGATCAAACTTTGGAACCGGTTAAATTACGATTGCATAATTTCGCTAGAGTATTCATTAGGTGACAGTTTAAATGATATCGCACGAAAGGCAGTTGAGAATTTGATTTCGAAATGAATTCTCAAGATATTTAATTTTGTTTCTCATTTTCTCTAGGCCGTTGCCCGAGAGAAACTCGACAAAATGGGGGAAGAGAACGAATCGAAGACAAGAAAGCAGTTAGAGATGACCATATCAGGCTTAAAGGTAGGTAGATCCCCAAATTTAATATTTCATTGAGAATTGTCGCATTGCGGGAAAAACAAGAATCTCTTGGGCTCAAAGTTGCTGTTTTCTTAGTTTCTATCGCAGTCGTCTCCTGAGCTAATAGCCGAGACGCGTCAAATTGAATTAGGCCATCCGTGTGGCGCATCCATTATTTTCACATAGCCCGCGATGCACTGTGTCCCGCAACATTTTGCATCAACATTGTTTCAATTTCTCCTGGATATTACAGTCGCCCCTTACAATTTTTTCCTGTATTTTTGGTGTGGGGTGAGGCGGGGGGGTGAACATGGTACATTATGGGCGATGAGAAAATGTGGAATAGAGAATTAACATATCTGAAACCAATCGCTGTAAAACGCAAGAGGCTTCACGTATATGAATTACACATCTCTTCAGAACTGTACCTGATTTGGTTAAAACTTCCCTTTTATCAATGAGAGCACTCTGCACGAGTATATCAATTTTTTGGCCACTTGAAAAACTGCGTGCATTTCAATTGACGTTGGCGTTTACTGTTGCTTTATCAGGCTGATGTTGCTAAAATGCGCGCAGGTTTGCATGAGAGCCAAACACAAGAACAAACTTTTGATGCTGAAGCCAAGAGGTACAAGGTAAGGTTTACTGATAATGCTGCTGTCCATTCACGCACATTTAATGATGTATTGTTTCCCTAATCCATTTTGCCTTTTACGGTATGATTTTTAACCTTAAAATGTACGTAAGCCTTTTCTTTCAAGTGGCCGGCGGCAATGCATATTAATTGATGAAAAAGAAAGTTTTTACTTAAAAAAAAGGTTCAACTACCGCAGGACTGCTGGGACACCAACATGGCCGCCGTTTTATGCTTTTTGGAACACCAATATGGCTGGAGTGACGTCATGTGAAACCGCTCTATATAAAGAATAAACTAAGTGTATGTTTCGCGTTTTTTTAGGATTTGTACCAGAGTGAATTAAAATCTAAAGACAAACTCGCCAACCGCTTGTATAAAGCAAATGAGAAGATGGCGGAGTCCCAAGCCTTGCTCAAGTGAGTTGTTACATGATGTTGTTTACTTCACCCCCCTGGAAAAATTAGTGCAGTGTGTTTATGCGAATAGTTGATGTAAAAATTACATGCTTAATTGATAGTAGAAGCGCTCATGTTGTTTCAGTTGCCCGTTTATCGAAATTCCCGGTAATTCGGGGGCCCGAAACCAAATATTAGTATGTGTAATCAAATGGTGACGAGTGAAATTAGGGAATAATTTCACGCGCGTTTTATCCAAATCCTTCTAATTTCCCAAGCCTTTAGGCAAGTGAAATTATTCCCTAATTTCACGAGTATACCATTTGGTTACCTATTAATATCATGGGTGACGAATTTACGTTAGCAATCTTGGATTTTTGACATGTTTATCCTGGATCGTATCGATCAAGAACTCCACTCTCTCAAATGCTTAGACCTTAAATTTGGCGTATAAAGTTCAGAATTTTTCAGGCCTTTTCTGCAAAATACCTGTTTAGAGTCCTTCTTGATGTTCTCTTGTGTGTTCAGGTTTTCTAAAGCGTCTTTTTGTGCCCTGACATCTTCATTCAGGGCATTTTAAAACTTCGTCGCCATCTTGACACTGAGACGTACGGAAGTTGCCATGGCATATTTGTAATTTCACATGTCGAATTACAAATTAACGCTGAAATTTCGCGCCAAAATTAAGGAGTAATTCGTCCCCCATGATATTAAAAGTAAAATCGTATTGATAAAAGCGCGGAACTTTATTTCACAAACCGGTTTATTTTGTTTTGGTAACTGATAGTCTTATCATGTTATCTCCAAGACGTTTGGCACCTCGATCTTGAATGTAAACATGTAAACAAAACAGGTTTACGAGGCCGGTAATCACCAGGCCCCGGTTGCTCAATAGTTGGGTAACGCTTTCCACCGGATAAATCGCTATGCAGCGGATACAAAAACCACCTCTTGAACAACCGGGACCAGGACTTTCGAGAAACGGGCCCCGGGTCCACCTAGTGGCGGGTTAAAGCGGCACTTGAACCCAGTGACCCCGGGTTACAAGTCTGTCGCCTGGATCACTCAGGCACGCTGCCTTGGCAGCATTATTTTAAAGTCAATTTATTTATTTATTTGCCACACACGTGTAAAAATACAAATAATATAAGATAAGTAGAAAAAAGGGGTAGTGGCGAGGAGACCTAACAGAAACTATAGGAGTTTATGAAAGATTAGGCGTGCTCCATCTACGGTCTGTAGCTGTTTACATCAAGTGAAGCAAGAGACGGCGTTAAGTTCAGTGTGGAAAAGATATGATTGTTTTTCATATGCAGTTATTAATTTCATAAATGAGGAAAGGGATTGAAAGTTGGTGCCTTCTTTGTCAAGTGAATTAAAAAACTTGGGACCTCGAAAAACACTGAAAACTTCTTAGTGTTTGTTGGACAATAGGGTAGACGGTAGGCCTGGGATTCTAGTATTGTTAGAGGGGAATTGGTTGCTTTGAGAGAACTTGTTAAAAGGTCGCTTCTGTAGATTAACTCTTGCATTGTTGTGTTCGTAGTCTCGAAAGATCACGGAGGAATTTTGATGGTTTTCAACGTGGTCCCTCTCCGCAGCCCTTAATATCAGACTCTCTGGGCGGTCTGTACGGCTCACCCGACATAAGTCCCGATAGAATGCACTCGAAGGTAATGAAAAGTGATTGTAGTTACACACGCTAGGATTACAGCGTTATGCCACAGTATTTTTTTGTATGACCTTCAAAATATTGCGCGCGAACAAGAACTTAATTACAACTCTTGCAGCTCTTGTTTGAATAGCGTTTTACTTTGAGAGAGGCTTCTATAGAATGCTGAATACTCCTGAGTAAATAATCATTTGATTGATTGATTGATTGATTGTTTTTTGCAGTAAGACGGGCAGTTAATGAAGGCTGTAGAAAATGAACTCAACAAAAGTATAAAGCGACATTTGGAGAGCGGTAAGTACAACCTCATAAGTAAAACTGAGAAAACAAAGTCAAATACGCACGAGTGTCTGTCGGTCAGTGCAGACGAGTGAAAAAGCTGGCAGGCAGCGAAAAATGAGACGAGCGAAAAAAAGGCGGGAAGAGAGAAGTGGATAATATGTAAGCATTTTTTGGAATACCTCCGTCCGCCCACTTTCAGAAAAAACCGTTACTCCTGTGTCAAATATCGAAATCTGCGGTGTAGGAGGTGTTGTGACCGATCTGGTCGGCAAATAATGGAAGATTACAACGGATTCAACCTTGGACGATGGCTTTATTTCGCCTACACGACTCCTGGTTTCTGATTCCATAGTCAGGCGTTACAATGTCCTACCGAGAGGGAGTCTGGGTCCTAATACACAACATCCCTCCCCATTTAGATAGAAAACAATAACATTTAGCAGAAGTAGAAACAAAATAATAATTGGTCCAATAAACATAAACATGGACTAGCAACAATGTCAACAATGTCTATGAGAATTCAGTGTCTCTAAAGTTTAAGTACAATAGTCTTTGAGATAACTTGGGGCCACTCTGTGTCTCTGGGACCTCCTAAGTGGAACTTCAGGCTCAATGACATTTGGTTCCGGTATCACCACACTCTGCTGCGGGGTCAGTTTATCCTGCTTGTGGGGCTCCCCGGTCACCACCATATCCGGTACACTTGGTGTATCATCATGTGTATCACCATTCTCTAGCAGTTTCTTTACATGAGATGTATTGCGGGAGTATTGGGCTCCTCCTGGAGATTGCACGATCAAGCTGTTCCCGTGCTTGTTTACCACAGTGTACGGGCTTGGTTCAAAACGGGTTGTGAGCTTATTTTTCCTCTCTTGTTGCACTAGCACTTGATCTCCAGGAAGTACCTCTGAGTACCTCGCATTCCTTTGCATGTCAGCGTACGCTTTGCTCTTACTCTTCTGTTCATTGTCCCTATCACGCACTTCTTGTTCGACATGTACATCTCTCAGCTCAGGAAGCTTGGTGCGTACTTTCCGTCCGAAGAGCAACTCGGCGGGGCTTACACCAGTCGTTGGGTGAGGTAAGCTTCTGTACGCTGCAAGATAAACATTCAGCTCTTTCTTCCAGTCCTTCTTTTGAGCATGTGCGATTTGGAGCCTTTTCAGAAGTGAGCTATTTTGGCGCTCAACTTCTCCATTTGCCTGGGGCCATTTTGCTGTTACCCTGTGGTGTCTGATTCCCTGCTGCTCCATGTACTCTGTAAACTCTGTTGCTACGAACTGTGGTCCATTGTCAGATGTCAAGCTCTCAGGTAGACCATGTCTTGCAAATATCTCTTCCAGGCTCGAGATGACTTTAGAGGCAACTGTGGATCTCATGATGTCTATCTCGTAGTAGCGACTATAGTAGTCAACGACGACCAGAATGGACTCACCAGTGG